CAGCGTTGAGACTGGATTTCCTGGCTAAACTTAAGCTCTTTAACATGTACATTAAGCGTTGTACTGTCTCCTGTGGTATTGCATTGCTTGCACACTGTATGACTAGGGATGCAACGATAACAGCAATATTGCGATATCGCAATATTAAAATGCAACATCATCATCGTCATGTCACATTATTAAAAGCAGCTCATCATTCAAAAAGGCCAGGTTGTTTTCCATTTGTGCAGCTCCAGTACCCCCTAGTGCAGGGGTGTCAAACATACGGCTCACGGGCCGGAACCAGCCCCCAAGAAGGTTCGATCAGGCCCGCAAGATAATTTAAAAGTGGGAAAAAAATGCATAAAAGAAATGGAATGAATATTTTTAATAAGGTGCAATTTATGGAGTATCCGCTACACTGTTTTGATCAGAGTAGAAGACAACAGCAGCCTCAGTGCGTCACTGACACAGACCCAAGACAGCAGATGCTATCAAGGACATGTGAATACTTTATTCTTTACACATTTAATAGCACTCTCCTTAGTTTGTGAGGTATAGGGAGGGATTAAATTCAGATTTTATCTGCCCACGTGTAAATGGTTTAAAAATTCCTTTCTTTATGAATCTCGTTTAATCTTAAGGTGCATTACTATATTTTTCGATGTCAATTACTTGTTAAAGTTTTGTGCCTTTATACAATAGGTGGGATCAGTTGCAATGCATATATGTCAATGATAAAAGTAAATTGCACATTTGTCCAAGGAAATCTAAGGTGCTTCATGAAATGTTTTGGAAAAGATATGTTCATTAAATTTCAACATTTTCCTAATGTTCTTGTGCTTGTACCAAAACAAAGGAAAGACATATTATTTTGGTTATTTAAAGCAGAGTATGGTATAATTTTCATGGTCTGGCCTACTTGACATCTACCTAGGCCGTATGTGGCCCACAATGTGAAATAAGTTTGACACCCCTGCTCTAGTGTTTATTTTATTTATTCATTTTTTTAAATATACTCTCCCACAGCATCGTGATGATTATCATGTTGTGAGGTTTATATCATGATAATATGGTATTGTAACGTTTGGATATTGTTACATCCGGTGATGTAAAATTTGTATCCGACTCTGTCCTTCAAGGTTCCCCATACTACAACAATGTTAGGCCCCTCTGTTACAGCGACTCAGATGCAGTGCTTTTGTGCTTTGACATCAGCAGACCAGACACGGTCGACAGTGCGCTGAAGAAGGTAACCACTTCGTGAATCTAAAACGTGTATATGATGACATGCGCCAAATCGTCACTTAAAAAAATGAACCCTGTTTTGTAGTGGAAAGCAGAGATCCAGGACTTTTGCCCCTGCACTCGGATCCTGCTAATAGGTTGCAAGACAGACCTGCGCACAGATGTGTGCACACGTATGGAGCTGTCCAATCAGAAACAGACGCCAATCTCCCATGAGCAGGTGTGTTCGAGTTCCCCTTTTTATGTCTTTACTTCAATTGCGAGTTGGTGGGGGGCTCAACAATCAAGGGCAATTCTGCATCACGGCAGGGTTGTTCCTGGGCCAAGCAGCTTGGAGCCGAGGCGTACCTGGAGTGCTCTGCCTTCACGTCAGAGAAGAGCATCCACAGTGTTTTCCGGGCGGCGGCCTTGGCGTGCATGAACAAACTCCAGCCGATCGACAAGCCCAGTCCGGTTCGCCGTCTCTCCAAGAGACTCCTACACCTGCCCAGTAAGACAGAGATCATCTCCTCCACCTTCAACAAGGAGAAGTCAAAGAGCTGCACCATCATGTGAACACAGAGTGGATGCACACGAGGACAAGTGACCTGCTGATGGTTCAGCGCAGTGATGTGGGTTTCTAATAGACTAGACACTTCACCCCCAAAACCCCCGTCACTTGTCCCAATATACACTGATCATTTGCTGCTGAGACAGATCACCGAGCCTGAATTCCTTGCAAGGTTGCCGTAAGAGAGGTCTTCCAAGATCTAAGTGGATAGGGTGAATGCTGCATTTAAACACATTACCTTAATTATCACCCTTTTGGAATTTTAATAGCAGCGCCATAGCTATCCATCTGTCTGGATGGCAGCGACATCAACTCATCAGACACTTTATTCGGTACACCTGCACCATCCAGTGAGTATGTAGCAAAAATGTGAGGTATTGATTCAGATTGGTTACCTTACAGTAGCTCTCTCCTTGCATGCCTGGACGTGTGTGATTTGGTTGTGTTGCGCAGTATAAATTGAATTTCCCCTTGCAGGACTATAAAGTGCATCATTTAAGAAATAATAAGTCAATATCTTTTTAGAACGGATATTTTCCCCAAAACTATCACGATTAACGATATTGTTGCTGTAGTTGTTTTTTGTTATATTGCTGATATTATGACAGAGCATCTTAAATCAATTGAGTATCTTTTGTAAGAGCAAATTTTTATTTTCTCAAGAATGTTGAACATTGCGGCCCGGTAGTCCAGTGGTTAGCGCGTCGACTTCACAGTGCAGAGGTACCGGGTTCGAATCCAGCTCCGGCCTCCCTGTGTGGAGTTTGCATGTTCTCCCCGGGCCTGCGTGGGTTTTCTCCGGGTACTCCGGTTTCCTCCCACATTCCAAAAACATGCATGGTAGGCTGATTGAACGCTCTGAATTGTCCCTAGGTGTGAATGTGAGCGTGGATGGTTGTTCGTCTCTGTGTGCCCTGCGATTGGCTGGCAACCGATTCAGGGTGTCCCCCGCCTACTGCCCGAAGACGGCTGGGATAGGCTCCAGCACCCCCCGCGACCCTAGTGAGGATCAAGCGGTTCGGAAAATGAATGTATGAATGAATGTTGAACATTGGCATTGAAACGTGGAACAATAAAATATCTTTGATACGTTGAAAACATTGAAAGTAGAACAGACTCATGCTCTGTTGCAAAAATTGTACTTAAGCAAATACTAAACTTATTTGGCACAGAGGTATAGAGACTCACTAATACTTCCGTCACGCCTCGGAAGGCCGGCCGCATCGGTTCAATCTCTTCATTTTTTCAGTCGCACCATTGAATAATTAGCTTGCCTGCGCGCCCAAATTTGTCTCAGTCTAGAGCCCTGGTGGAACATTCTCTAGATTATTTTGATGAATAATTCGGACAATCAAGATTATCTTATGGGGGTCAACACGGCTTTTGAATTGGAGTTCATGTTGTGCAGGTGTACCTAATACTGTATGTTACTGGCAAAGGTTAAATGCACATTACTACTGCTTTGCCTCTGGAAACAATCTCATTGCTGTCATTTTGCAACGTTCATGCCTACTCATGTGACTGGCACCAAGGCGCACACCCCCCCCCCGCCCCCCCTTCAAACGGAGGTCCTTAAAGGATTGATTCCCTTGCTGTCCTTTTGCTGTTTTTCATTTGATTTAAAGCTAACAGCAGAGAAAATAGCAGCAAGGTTAGCAGTTTGGCAAGAAGAGCCTCCTTTGCAAAGACAGTGGGAGGATGAACTCAAGGGATGAGATGTGACTCAGCACTCACGTGAGTCTTCCAGCGTCGTGACAGCATTAACGAGAAGCCTTGATTTTAGTGCTGAGCGTGAGCACCTCATCTCGAGATGCCAGGAACATTCACGAAACATTGCTATTTACACAATTGTTGTTTCTTTTCCTTTGTTGTTTAGGATTCTTTCAGAAGAAACTTGGCCTATAGTTGGTTCGGCAACATTTTTCTGTGTTGTCTTGTTAGCATGAACACAAACGTCCTGAGGTGATGCTCAATTAACAGCGGGGAGCAAAATCACTCAAATGGGCTGGTCCTGTTTGTAGAAAGACTTTTTCCACCTCGCTCTTGCTTGTCAACTTCCCCAAAAACACATTTGTAACAAAAATAGATCTTCATATTTCTCCTTACTCCTGTCTTCCTTGAGCGTCTTCGCTCGCCGTCGCTGTTCTTGTATTCACTTGAGTCTTCTGGCATTAGTGTGTGTTGACAGCTAAGCTAATGGAGCACCGGATGATTTGTCGGTCTGCGCCAAGAAGACCGGAGTTGTCTGGTAATAGAGAACCCTGGAATTTAACATGTTGCCTAGCAACAGTGCGCAGGGTTCCTGTCTTGCACAGAGATGGAGGGAAGATTTTGCAAAAGGGTGCATCACCTTTCATTTGTAGCATTAAACGTGCCACGGCTAAGGTGACGTGGTCTGGGATGGAAGACCCCAATTTTAACAACATCAATCGGTAGCACGCGAGAGAATGGTGGAACATTTAAGGAAATGCATCAATAACTCAGCTGATATTATTTTATTCCACAATTGTTTTTCGTTTTCCCAACAAAAATGTCTTTTTGCTTCCTTGCTCTTTTTTTCCCCTGTACAAATCTTTCCTTGCCTGTTTAAAAGAATGTTTCAGTGAAGTTGACAATGTCTTAAATTATTGACTTAATTGTGTATTGGTTATTGCCATACTCTATTTTTCATCTTCAAATCTTTATTTAAATAAAAACATGAAGAAAAAAAACATTTTGGGTCTATGTGGAATACTGTGTAGAAAACACCTTTCTCGCCTGGGTTTTTAACAGCTACTTTATTTTATTCTTGAAACACATTTTTCAGAAGCCTTAGCAAATTAGAGCAGATAATTGTGTCACCTCATTTGGGCACCAGATAACAGCATTATGTCTAGTTTGGCTCAAGCAAAAGTGATACAATATCCTTTCTAGTTAAGGCTATAGCATTTCATTTGTGCCAACAGTAATGGCACAGCAATGCCAATTCTGACTGACTGTCTGGACACACGGACGTTTTACACAAACTGTTGAGCAATCGCAGATGTGCCCAGATAGGAGACCATCTCCGACTCGCAGCCAGCCTCGTGAGCATCTACAAAGATTAAGAATGATATACTGTAAGCGTTTGCTGATTGCATGTCCCTGACTGTTATATACTACACACCAGTATTTTCAATGCCATGCTAAGTTGCCCAGCAGATGTTGACAGCTCATTATTATTATTATTATTATTATTATTATTATTATTAATAATAATAATAATACTGCAGGCGCTCTTGAGTGAACGTCGATGTAAGCAATGACATTTGGACGCTTTACGATGACGTAATGATCTCCTACTTGGCTCTTTGCCGGTGGAAAATCAAAGACGTTCTTTGTAAGAACTTGTTAAGCACCAACGAAGCACAGCACCTGGCGCCGAACTAGCATCAAGAACCAGAAACAAACAACAACTGAAAGCGGCTGTAGTAAAGCATTTTAACTGAAGAATGCAGCAGTCTGGTCAAGTCAGTGGGTCGCGGGATTGATGCAGTTGTTGTAAGTAACGCTTATGCCACCAGATATTAACGTTATTTACTTAAAGTCAATTTAACTTTCGATGCGGTTAGCGACTTTTTCGAAGGGCACCGCATGGCGACACCTCCAACGAGGCATTTCAGCGGTTTTATCCTCAGCCGTCGAGTGAGTGGTCACCTAAGTGCTGTGCATGAAACGGATGAGCGCCCATCTTCCCGACGAAGAGGACGATGGAAATGCGCAACCGGCCTTCACTACTCAGATTCCCACTGTCGCGCCATTTTCGGGTCTTTGCCCAGGGCTGATAACAAACCTGCTACCTCCAGGCTTCACAACCCACCCATCGTATTCTCCATACAGGGTCAGGTGAGTCAGCTGTTCCACCCGAAGGCCTTGTCTTTTGCTCCTAGTTCGTCTTCACATCCATGCTTTTGCCCTTCTTATTCTTGGAAATGTCTTGTTCGCCATTCACCCGGGATATCTTCGACCACCACCTATCATGTCAGAGGCTGCGGGATGTTCACTGCCGGACTCACCGTGGGTACCTCGCACCGTTACATAGTTAACGCTTTGTTACAGCTTCAGCTGTTGTGAAAGCGCTGTATAAATCAGGATGTATTGTATTGTATTGTATTGTATTGTATTGTATTGTATTGTATTAACAAATGTCCATTCCAATACTTTTGTTCACTTGGAAATTGGGTGGCTTCAAAGAAAAGGTGCTCTATCCTGAGTTGTTGAAAACATCTAGATGTAACTACCATGAAATGAAAGCTGGAATTCTGAACTTTTGTCTCATATTCATCTTTTGAGCTGAAAGCCAAATGTATCAAACATAAACAAAAGTAATTGCCCTTGCCGTTCCAAAACGTTTGCAGGGGACTGCAGTCTTGTCATCCCTTCCATTTGATGACTTGAAAAGCCAACTCATTCCGATTCATTTCTGACTCTTCAATATACAATCAAACCAGTGTTGATTCACTGCAGCCGGGTTTGCAATTGTTTGTGTTGATCTGAGTGTGCCGTGTGAACGTCAAGCAACTTCTCCTGTCCCTTAGGGACCATCTGGCCAACAATCTGATGAAGACATGGTGTTAGAACAAGCCTGTAGAAGTGATGCCACTGAAGCATGCGAACAGCCTTGGGGATCAACCCTTCCCCCAGTACACACACACACACACACACACACACACACACACACACACACACACACAGACACACACACACACAGACACACACACACACACACACACACACACACGCACGTATGCATGGCCAATGCCTCATGTATACTAGACATCCTTTTGCATGTATGACTTACTATGAAAACCTGTCACTTTGTATTGTTTTTCTCAAAAGATAAAGAGGACATGGTCAAATTGGTTTGTCTTGTTGTGACATTGCACACTGGATTTACCTCCTGTGAAGGTAACACACACACACACACACACACACACACACACACACACACACACACACACACACACACACAGTGTCCTATTTGTAGTAATGCAATGTAAGATTTCAGGGGAAAAATGCACAAAATCCCCAAATATCATCAAACATGACACCACGAGTTTTAACCTCTCACAATGAAACTCTACCGAATGCAGTTCGTTGTACATTTTCTTTGTGTGATGCCTCCACCGAGGAAGGCCATTGTTGATGAAGAGGAAGAGTGCGATAAAGATGATATAGAACTTTGTTCTGGCAGTTGATGTAAAATATGCAAAATCAATTCTTCTCATTTACTAAATGTCACAATAATCTATCCCGCCATAAAAAATGTTGTGAGAGCATTTTTCAGAAATGACTTGAGTATGACAACATTTATGAATCCAAACTACCAAAAAGCTACCTTGCCGGGTGCACTCAAAAATAAGAAACCATGACTTCCGATTTTTGTCTTCAGTTGGACAAGTGTCATTTTTAAAAACTGGAATACGTCAGTACCGTTAAGCGCTCATGTAAAGAGACTCACCTTCGAGGCACAAGCAATAATGTCATGCATGACCGGTGTCCCAGCTCACACGATAAAGTCCCTGACCCGGGTTCGCCATGGCAACGATGGAGATGCATCTCTCCTTGTGCAGGTTGTTGTACCATCAAAATGTACTATACAAATAGCATGAAGAAGGTGATGCTAAATTAAACTGCTGCATATTGTTTAGAATTTTTGCCATTATGTAGAGACCATAATCCACTGACAGCAATTTTCACTGCTTCATGACTGAGGAATTTCTCTGTTGGTTCCTCTTGTCAAGGTGTCCTTGGAGGAGATACTCAACTTTTTTTTCCCCCGCTGCTTTGTCACCATTGTGAATTCCTCACTGCGGGATGAAAAGGTAATTTTTAAAAATGTTCTTCTTTCATCCGTAATAGCAATGACTAATGCTGTTAGTTTTAGTAAGTGAGCTTTTACTTCGATCCAGACTACTGCTGCAGTGCAATATCTAAATATCTGCCCCGCCTCCTTTTATTGCATTTGCTTTGTCTTCCTTTGAGTTGCACCTTATCAGGACCTCGGCCACAGTCTGCTCTCCGAACGACGGTCAGGGCTGTAGTGGCTGAAAGAACGTTTGACATTCCTCAGCTATCACACTCAGGACACAGTGGTGACTCGTGGCCTTCTTATCCATGAGCACAACTGGGAGATATCACTTGCGAGGATATACACAGACACGCGCTGATAAATGTCATTTTCGTCTGCGCAAACATTTGATTCCTCGTTTTCTGTCTTCCTGCCACTCCTTCATGATACTTGCAGTGCTAAACTTAAGATCACGTCCAAATCAATATCATCATGCAGTATTCTCGTGAAGACCCATTTTCACTCAACTGTTGATACTATTTAGGACAGTGATGAGGAATTTGAAGAATTCATCTTTTCAACCCCAAATTTGAGGAGTCTGACTGAGCTTTTCAGAGAAGTCAGGAGATGTGTGAAATTGTTTACACCCAGGCCAACTCACTGTTAAATTTCAGACTATGCCCTGGCCTTGATCCAAAAGTCATCACCCACGACTGATCTTTGGTGATATGTAACATGGTATTTCATTGACACTTTTTTTATGTTTTTGTCACGTAATTAGAAACATTTTAATTCCGAATGGCAACATAATGTACTTAACATGGCACAGTTGCATCAGGTTATGTTGTATTTGTATCATAGTTATGGTTTCTTCAATTGCAATGCCATAATGGTGGTTTTGAAAAGCTGCATTAAGTTGGGTGAATCTTCCCAAAGGCCCAGGTACCAAATACTGCCACTGATCAATCCATATTCACGCTATTGGATTAAGAGATCATTCACATCACACAACTGTAGCTGCAAAATCTTTTTTGTTTCTGCAATAACTGGTTGCCATCCTATTTTTTCTTTTATTGTTTTTATTGTTTTTTTTTTCTCATTTTTTACTTGCATTTGCATGAAGGAAATGAAAATGTAATGATCACACTGCTGACTTTTGGACAAAATTTCCACCATGTCAAGGAACAATTTCTGAATATTTATCCATGCATGGAAGTAGGTTTGCGCAGGCCAACGATGACACATGTTTGGAATTGACACGTTTGAAAAAAACTAATGAACCAGCCTGAAAAAGTGATCTGTGCAGTCTTGACATTTAGCTTTTCCTGGATGGACGAAAACCTACGGCAGAGACTTTGAGCCGGCTGCGGTTCAAGAACCTGGCGGAGGGATGACTTTGTGCGTTTTCGTCTCCAACCCTCTGAGAGCGAGGGGGAAATGGACGCCAGGCTGCGTATCTCATTACCACACGAGCGCATCATCTATCAGACGTAGCAGTGCGGACAAATAAAAACACTCCGATGATGCTATCTCTTGTAGGAGAGATACAGCAGCAGAAAAAGCAAGCACATGGTCTGGTGGGGGTTTGCTTTGCAACACTATGCTGCCTGCTTACTGATTAGCTATCTGCACTGACATAGATCACATTCACTCACATCCCCTGCCAGTGCACACACATACAAAATAGTGAGCAGTGCCACAGCTGCACTGACACCATCATAACTCTTATCTGCGTTGGGAAATGCGAGTGTATATGTCGGGCTCAGCTGTGTGGAAAGAGACAATCTCCAGAGATTCATTATGTGGTTCAGTCTCAGAAGCCGCGATTATGTCTCTCCACAGGCTGTGTTCAGCCATCTACAATAGGTTATGTATGCCTACATTCATTGTGGACGATGTTTTGTCAAAAAAAGACACCCAAAATCTGCTTCAAATCAGTTAATTCCATCCAGTAAAGTGAAAGATTATGCAGCAGAGCAACTCTAAGCTTGTGAATGTTTTCTTGTTTTAATATGTCAGTGAGACACAGACATCAACCTGAGTGATCCTTAACCATTTTATTATCATTAACCAGATGGCTACTGCTGTGATAGTGTCGTATTATTCTTTCTCTCAGCATTAGTATAGGCTCTGCCTGGACTATTTGCTGCACGGAGCATTCATGCACACATGTGAAGTGTATGAAGGTGTGTCAAATGTGCTGTGCACACACAGCAGTTTATGTCATCTGCTCTGCATATTTCTGTACTCTCCAGCGCAGTAGGACAAGTGCCGCATGTTTGGGAACACGCTGCCCTTCAGCTCGCGAAAACTGCAAAACGAAGACCCCTTTGTGTGTGTCTGCAAGTGGCTCATAGTTTTATCGGATGCATAACAGATCGACACCCCTTGCATTCATTATCCCCTCCTGTTCACCTTAACCAAATCGAAACCTTCTCAGATGCACTCGCTTTGTCCCTGTGCCCAATTTGGTACACCCGGAGGGCACGTCAAGAGTGAGTGCTCTTCCAGCGCTTTAATTAGACAGTCTTTCTTGGCATCGGGGTGTACTCTTGGGAAGAGGAGCTCAAGCTGGGGCACAAGCGGTGCCTGAATTGGGGGTGGACTGTGGTTAGGCTTTGTGCCATCCTGTCATGTACCTTCAGCTAATCCTACTACATGTTTGTTGACCCCTGGCATGTTTTCCATATTACAACGGTATTGAAATGACTTCAGTTGGCATGATTTTTCACCAACCCCAATTGAAATGTCCAATTGTCAACATTGCAAACAACATTCATTCATTCATTTTCCGAACCGCTTTATCCTCACTAGGGTCGCAGGGGGCCCAGCTGTCTCACAGTCACACCTAGGGACAATTTGGAGTGTTCAATCAGCCTGCCATGCATGTTTTTGGAATGTGGGAGGAA